CGCCCGCGGCTCCGGAAAGGCCTGCTCGCGGGCTGCGGGCCTGGACGGGGAGGGGGCGGCTCTGGCCACGGCCTGCCCTGGGGTGAGGGACCTGGGCCGGCCGGGCGGTGGACGCGGCCCGTCGGGGGAGGAGGGGAAGGCCGAGCGTCTCCGCGCTGGCGAGCAGGTGACCCTCCAGGCTCCAGCCTCGGCCTCTAGCCTCTGCGTCTGGAGGGCCCCGGGCCAAACTTTGGGTGTCCTGACAGATGGCGTCTGGGAGCGAGCTTCTAGGGGTTGGGGGCCGATTCTCCTCTTCAGTGGGCCATTCTTAAAAATCAGTCTTAAGATATCCCCTAAGACCTGTTCTTTGAGATGCGCTGGCCTTGCTAGTGAGAGGATTACTGCATGGGTGTCAGTGTCTTTGAGCCTCAGTTTCCTATTGTGTACAGGAAAGGGGCGGGATATATGGCTTTCTAAAATGCCTCTCAATTCCTAAAAAATAAAAATGTAAAACTGTCGGAAGAGTGGGATAAATGGAAGATTTTTACATGCCCATCTCAGGGCTTAGGTCTCCACGGCCCTTGAATGGTATATAATGCTGGGTAAACCACACTGGGTCTTTCAAGAAAATGGCACGACTTTCTTAATAAGTCAGATACGTGTGGTTATGTGTGCTTCGGCTAATATGGCATGAATCCCGGAGACTCCGTCCACTTAAGTATGTCGAGGAGGGAGGGACGGTTACATCTTGTGAAATATGGTTCAGAATTTGAGCTTATTCATTTTAGATATTTTTACAGCTCTGTCTCTTTCCGTGGGACTTTTCTTTCTGCTTGGGGTAAAATCAAGCCACAAGTTTATGGAGACTGATGAAATTATAGCAAGGGGCTTTTATTTGGGGAGTGTTGGAGAGGATGTGTTCCTGTTGGCCCCCTCCTCAGCCCTCCAGATCCGGAAATGGAGAGAGATAGTCTAATAATAGAGAGGAAAGAAATAGTACGTTCCTGTGAGCTCTTATTTGACTAGTTGGTAAAGATGTCTTGCTCTGCTAGCTTTACTGGCTATACTGGAGCTTTTTTGGTTTCAGTTAAACCCCTGTATTACTCAGGGAGACTAACCTGGCCCCCAGGGATTTTTCCCCCCTTCTTCCTACTACCCTAATCTCCCTCTCAGGAAAGAACCATAATGTGCCTATTGTGTTGCATTAGGCTAGTCACTTTCCCTGTGAGCCAGGCTCCTATTCCAGAGGGCCATCCAGTCTAGCTTTCACCTGAGTGAAAAGTTGAGATGTGGTTTAGTTATTGATGAGCCTTCAAGGGGTTTGTGAACTTTTTGAAAATGCTTGCAAAATTTTGTGGATGTACCCTTGTGTATTTTTTGAGTAAGGAACTCAAAACTTTCATTAGACTTTCAAAAGTCTCCCTGACCCCAGCTGAAATAGTAAGGTCTTTAAGAGCAGGACTTTCCTCCCCACCTCTCCCACCCCCATCAAACTTCCCGTAGATCTTTGTTTAATATCCAAACTTCTGGATTTTAGAGGTAAAAAGAATTCAGAATACGTACTACCTGGCCAGCTGTCTCAGTTGACAGCTGAGGTCTGGAGGCAACCTGCAGGCTCTGGAGCTCGACTGCTGTGTGACCTGGGGCAAGTTGCTGAGCTTGTCCTATCCTTAGTGTCTTCATATGCTGAGTGCGGATAGTAATTCTGGTAGTTCCTATTTCATAGGCTTTGTGAGCATTAAGTGAGGTAATCCTTTAAAATTTTTAAGTTAGTTCATGGCACATAATATATGCTGAATAATTGTTTGCTGTTTCCAACTAATTAGCTGTCACATCTGGCTGGCAGCAGAGCTATTGGATCATACTACCTTGAAAACCTTTTGTTGAATAGGGTCTTGAGTCTTCAATTTTTGGCTCAAAAGTGTGATGCTGGCAAGATGCGCTGGCTCACACTTATAATCCCAGCACTTAGGGAGGCAGGGGCAAGATGATTGCCAGAGCCCAGGGGTTTGAGACCAGCCTGGGCAACTTGGTGAGACCTCATCTCTACAATAAATAAAAAACTTAGCCAGGCATAGTGGCACGTGCCTGTGGTTCCAGCTACTTGGAAGGCTGAGGTGGAAGGATAGCTTGAGCCCAGTATGTCGAGGCTGCAGTGGCCGTGAGCATGCCACTGCACTCCAGCCTGGGGGACATAGTGAGACTCCGGCTCAAAAAAAAAAAAAAAAAAAGTGTGATGCTGTTTCAGTTAAGTCACCTATAAATGAATGAATGAACAAATGAAAGAAAGAATGCAATAGAAGATATGGGATAGGTTTAAATAAGTCTTTGACAGGTAACTAAAGAACTTCATTACTTATCCTCATGATTTTTTTTGTAACTCAGTAATTTATTTCTCATTCATTCAGCAGGTTATTTATTGAACACATACTATATATCAGACTGGACACCAGGGATATGCTAATTTTCAAATGAAGAAAATGGAAATTTTAATTACTTTAAAGATAACTTGTATATAGAGCATAGTAATTGAGCAGATTCATTGAAGGAAGAGTATCAGGAAATGGACAAAAATTGTTATAGAAGAAATTTTGTTCAGTTCCAATAAAGATATTGATTGTCTAGGTAGGTAAATACAGAACTGGTCACTCACAGAAGATTGTGGCATCACTCCCTGATAATTCAGGAATTCTCTCAACATGAATATGTCAAGGTCTAGGACAGAGAGAGTGTAGATAATTGAAGTCCCAAAGGGAATCTGAATCTTTATTTTGGTCTAGTCCCCACCCATCTTGATACAAGTCGCAAGACTGGCTGACTTCTACTGTGCTTCCCATCCTTCTAGGCCTCTCGTTGCTTCCTCGTTCTCCACCTCAGGAACCACAGGGAGGAACCCAGACTGCCCAAGTACACCTACCGCAGTGGACCCCTGCCCAGGAGACCATGGCTCCTGGAGGAGTAGCTGAATTGCCTGCCTTCACCCACCTCAGTGTCTCTCTGCTTATACCAGAAGCCAGGCCAGAATGCCCAGAAGCTCATTCAGCCGCTACAACAGGGGCTGGGCACATAGAAGATGTTTCCAAGTCAAACATACCAAAGAAACTCTTTGAGAGAGTTTATTAATAAGTCAACAGTTCAACTTTTATCAAAGAGTAAGAGTCTGGGAAACTTAAGATAATTTTGTGTCCTCACTCTTGGGCCAAGTTAGGGAAGGAACACAGGGCCTAGTATCACTAGTGGAAGCAGTGATGCCAAGTCTACCTTCGAGTTAAGTGCGTTAACAGCACTGGGTCCCACTAGTGAGCACCAACCCTTGCTGGGAGATATAGGATAGTAAGTACCTGATGTTTATAAAATTCTGCTCTATCATTTTCAGAGTTTTATGTTCATTGTTCCAACAACTCAGTGAGGTATGTACATGTCAGATATTATTATCCTTATTTTATGGACAAGGACACTGAGAATAGAGAGGTCAAACACCCCAGCCAGGTTGACACAGGCAGCAGCAGGTGTAGACAGGGCCAAGGCTCGAGTGTTCTAATTAGAGTCCAGAACCCTTTCCCTCTCCCACACTACCACGCATAAGAGGATACCTGTGCAGTGTATGTTCTAGAAAAGGAGATGGCTCTGTAAAAAAAAGAAGCTGACTTGTTCAAGACATTCTCTTTTGTGCATACGACCATACTTACATATCAGTGGTGTAAACCTCACTTTATTAAAAAGTTATCCAACCACAAAAAAAGAAGCTGGCATAACCATCTTTTACTTGCTATTCATAATCATTTTATAATTGAAGTCTAAATTGGTACTACAGTCTCAAGAAGAGATTTCGCGTCCGTAGATCATATCTTATTGCTACCGAAACTGAAGCCCTTTAAATATGGATGCTTGTTTTCAGGATTTATCTTGCCAGCTAGAGACTATGATCCTTAATCCTCTTTTCCTTTCTTCCCTTGAACACAGGTCCAGCAGCTGGACATGGAGAGCCAACGCTCATCACCTCTGTCGTTCCCCAACGTTCCGCAAGAAGAAACCTTACGTCAGACTCCTGCTGGACTCACCCGAGAAACCCTGTTCCAATCCCGCATTCTCCCCCCCAAAGAAATTCCTTCTTCATCTCCCACTGTTCCCCGACAAGGCTCCCTGCCCCAAACTTCCAGTGCTCCCAAGCAAGAGACTTCTGGCCGAATGCCGCATGTTCCCCAGAAGGGACCCTCACTCCTGTATCCTGCCGCCTCTGAGCAAGAGACTCCTCTCCAGGGCCCCCTGGCTTCCCAGGATGGGACCCAGCATCTACCCCCAGCTGCTGCTGAACAGGAAATTTCCCTTCTCTCCCACTCCACTCACCATCAAGAAGCCCCACTCCACTCCCCTGAAGTTCCTGAGAAAGACCCCCTGACCCTTTCCCCAACAGTTCCTGAGACTGACATGGACCCCTTGCTCCAGAGCCCAGTCTCCCAAAAGGACACCCCCTTTCAGGTCTCTTCCACAGCCCAGAAGGAACAGCCACTCCCCACTGCAGAGATCACCCGCTTGGCCGTGTGGGCTGCCGTCCAAGCGGTAGAGAGAAAACTGGAGGCCCAGGCCATGAGGCTACTGACCCTGGAGGGCAGGACAGGGACAAATGAAAAGAAGATAGCTGACTGTGAGAAGACAGCCGTGGAGTTTGCAAACCACCTGGAGAGCAAGTGGGTTGTGCTGGGAACCCTGCTGCAGGAGTACGGGCTGCTGCAGAGACGGCTGGAGAACATGGAGAACCTACTAAAAAATAGAAACTTCTGGATTCTACGGCTGCCCCCAGGCAACAATGGAGAAGTTCCCAAGGTAAACCAGTCCCCACTGGGGCTTCCCAAGGAAGCGATCTGAACTGGAATGTGGGTTAGGAATTAGCTTACTGTGAAAGAAGGAGATGGTTGAGAAAGAAAAAATGTACAGTGATCCCTAGTTGCCAACCTTGCTTTGCTAAGAACAGGACATGCCATAATCAGACTATTTCTGCTGTTGTTAAAAGCATAGGTTAATACAGAAATGTCCCAGGGATCAAAGATTGTCTGCCTAGAAGGGTGTTCATCAGAGGTGTCCATAGTGTGAGGATAAGAAGGCAATGTGAAGGCCCTGTGAGAGAGCTGTGGACAGGCTTTACGATCAGTTACTAATGAGTATTTGTTAGCGCGTCATAGTTGTGGGAACATTGGTTAAACATTACAGGAATCTGTCCTGCTTAATGTTTTTACCAGTATACTTAATAAGTCATATTAATGCCAGGAAAACTGTGATTTCAAGAAGTTTCCTTAAAAAACTGGAGAATACTGTAATCCCAGCACTTTGGGAGGCAGAGGTGTGAGGATTGCCTGTGCCTATGGGTTCAAGACCAGCCTGGGCATCATGGCGAGACCTCATCTCTACAATAAATCAAAAAATTAGCTGGGTGCAGTGCCATATGCCTGTAGTTCCAGCTACTTGGAAGGCTAAAGTGAAAGAATCACCTGAGCCCAGCAGGTCGAGACTGTGGTGCCCCTGAGCAGTGTGCCACTGCACTCCAGCCTGGGTGACAGAGTGGGACTCCAACTCAAAAACAGACAAGAAACTAGAGAACAGTTAGGTGTTCATATTCTTTTCTAGAAAGTTCTGAATGAGCCTGAGTGTGGGCTGACTTGCTTTCTGTTCTTCTGTGCTGCTGCCTCTGTCTATAGCCTTATTATATATAGAGAGAAAACAGACTATATTCTCTAGGCCAGCACTTTTCAAAATTTACTGTGCCCATGAATCACCTTAGGATCTTGTTTTTCTTTTTCTTTTTTTTAATTTTTAGAGACAGGGTCTCGCTCTGTTGCCCAGGCTAGAGTGCAATGGTATGATCATAGCTCACTGCAGCCTCAAACTCCTGGCCTCAAGCAATCCTCCCACTTCTGCCTCCCAATGCTGGGATTACAGGCATAAGCCACCGTGCTTAGCCACCTTGGGATCTTACTCAATGCAGAATCTGAGTTGGTAAGCCTAAGATGGGGCCTGAGAATCCATATTTCTAACAAGTTCCCTGGTGGTGCCATTCTGTTGGTCCACAGGCCATGCTTTAGAGCTGCAAGAGTTATCCTGTGAGAGAGGAAAAGGACCAGACAAGACGAGTCCCTCACTTTCTGGGGCCAGGACAGTGGCCGAAGCCTAGCCAGACTTCCAGAGAGGTCCTAGGTGAAGCCCCAGAGTCATGTATTTGGGCCAGGGCCAGGGGGTTTGGGCTTTGGGATTTGACAGCATGGGCCTGTGACTCTCATCCAGATGGTCTGAGCCAAGCTTGTTGTGCGGTTTCAGGTCCCCGTCACATTTGATGACGTCGCCGTCCACTTTTCGGAACAGGAGTGGGGAAACCTGTCTGAGTGGCAGAAGGAGCTCTACAAGAACGTGATGAGGGGCAACTATGAGTCTCTGGTTTCCATGGGTAAGGAGAAGGCGTTGTTCACCAGGGACTGCCTCAACATCAGCCTGTGGTGCATTCAGAACCTTAGAGAGTTCTGAACCCCAGTAGAGCCAACACGCAAAAGCAAGGAAAGTGGAATTTTAGAGAACGTAACAAGTTAAAACAAATGCCCTCATATACCCACACCTCAGTGCAGCACAGGCTGGAGCATCTTGTAAATAGAGACACCACTTGTTGGAGAAGCTGCTAGGGTTGGGAGGAGGAGACGGACCTATAGTCTCTGGATGTCTCTCACCTTCGTAGTATTTGCCCTGTGGACCCCTTTTTAAAAAATAAGTTTGTCCAGCAAACGATTATTAAGGAAAGAAAAAAATGGAAGAAAACAAGTAGATTGAGTGCCTATTATGTACTAGCAGTATTTGAGGTGTTTTACAAGAACCACCTCGTTGCATCCCCACAGCTCTTCTATGTGGGGGCTAGGACTGCTGTTAGCGTTTCTTTTTGATTATTCAGGCACCTAAACACTATCATTTATTAAGGGCTTCTGTAGCTCAGTTCTTGTCCCCATCATGCAGGAAAGGAGGCTGCAATCAAGGAGGTTAAATACTTACCCTAGATCTGCATCAGGAAGTCACAGTTTTGTCTGCCCTAAAGTCTGTAGGTTCTTGTTATTTTTATTAAGAATATTTAAGGACAATAACCTGGAAAAATGTTCTATCTATCTATTTATCTATCTCCTTTTCTTTGATATGGAGAACTCTAGGCATATACAAAAAAAAGTTTTAAGAAAACATCAAATGTGCTGTCACATAGAAACTTTGATTTTTGTTGGAATTGTTAGTTATATACATACCTTTCCTAGGATAACTCCCCTTCTTTGAAAATTCTTTTCTTCTTTTCTTTTTCTAATGCATATATAACTGTGAAAATGTAATAATTGAAGTGATCTATATAATGAAGTGCAACCCCCACTCATTCACCATTACCATTCCCCAAAGGTAACCACCATGTTGAACCCTTTGGCCTATATTCTTTCTAATCTTTTCTTTGCATGTGTGGACATAAGCACAATGCATGCATAGGAGTGCATGCAGTTTAAGGTCTACACAGATGGGCCTGTTTACTTATTTTACCTAATGGAGGTGGGGACACAGACAGCATTCCATGCCAGCACGCGTAGGCCTCCTTGGAAAAACAGTCCTTGCACACCATCAGGCTTTTGACCTTTCTGCTACTGATGAAAAGTAATTTGGTTCTGTTTTTGTCACTAAGTATTGTGATAAATATCCATGTGTATTTGTGCACTTACATGAGTGAGTGAGTGTTTCAGTAGTACAGACACCAAGATGTGGGATTGCTGAGTAAAGAGGATGCACATTTACAGTTTTATAGCTACTGCCCTGGTGACCTCCAGAAGCTGAACCAGTTTAGACTTCCTCAGTGGTAGATGAAAATGCTGTTTCTTCATGCCCTGACCTGAAGTGATGTTTTCTATTTTAAATAGTTGTCTTTTTGATAGGTGAAAATGGCACCTCAGTATTTTCATATGTATTCTTTGGTGGTTAGTGAACTTGTGTATATTTTTATATATTTATTGGCTGTTTGTATTTCTTCTATGAATTACCAAATATTTATGGTTTTGCTTTCTTATATTTTACTAATTGTAGACATTATTTAGATATAATTACAGATATTAATCCTTTGCCAGATATGTTTTATGTAAGGAAATCTATCAGTATGCCAGGAAAAACCTGGGCAGCTTTGATCACCTGTGAGTAACATGAGACACACACACACACACACACACACACACACACACACACACACACAGCCCTAAGGAAAGGGGTGGATGTTTGGCTGTTTCTTTTCCAGCATTGCCAATCCCAGGTAGAGGCTCTATTCATGGTATCACACTCCCACAGATGATATCTTAATAGCATCCAGTGCATCCCATAGTTTATACCTTTTCCTTTCTTCTGCCCAGACTATGCAATTTCCAAACCAGACCTCATGTCACAGATGGAGCGCGGGGAGAGGCCAACCATGCAGGAGCAGGAAGACTCTGAAGAGGGAGAGACGCCTACAGATCCCAGTGCTGGTGAGTGGCTTATGGGTGGCCCAGAGCTCTGCATTCTAAATCTCTCAGCACACAGGAGGCCCCATCATGGGGTGACATAATCCAAGGTAGATCCTGAAGGGACATGTTACATGTAAGAAAGAGGCCTGTCACTGCTGGGACCTGCTTAGGGCCTCCTTCGCCAGTGGCCCAAGTTTTTGATAAGTGAGAATGCCATTGGGTTCATTGTCTCAGGGATTTTTTGACATGACCAGGTGTCATCTCATTCTTTGCAGAAAATAACACAAGAAACTCAAAGAAAGGCAGTCACTTGTCAGGCAGTCATTAATGCGTATACCTCCTAGAGCTTCTCGGAGGAGGGCCACATCCTTGAGTCCTGCAGCTGGTCAGGGGAAGGATAAGGGACAGATGTGGACTTTGTCAGAAACATCCTACATGCATTACTCCATCAGGACAGTGTCTAGACAAGGCAGTTAGATGGAGTCGGCAGATATGGGACCAACCAGAGGTCATGTGGCTTAAGTGTAGACTCTAGTGTCAGGTTGCTTGCATTTGAACCCAGCTTTTCTATTTACTAGTGTTGCGATTTTAGTTGCTTGATCCTTTTAGAGTCTCAGTTTCCTCATCTGTAAAATAGGACTGACACATCTAACCCTAGGGCCTGGCTTGGTGACTGGCACGTAGCTGTGGCTATGTAAACACCAGCTGCTGTCAGTGTGCCGGAGGTCTACGCTGTTCACAGTAGCCAAATCAATGGCCCATACATTCACACGGCAGGTGCTTTCGTGGTATGTAGTTAGTGATTGGAACCCCTACTTAGGAATTGCCTTTGCACTTGAATTATGTACTGCGATGGTCTTCAGTGGAAGCAGATCCTTGTTCGTTATCAGCAGGTGTGATGTGAGAATAGCCAAGCATCACTGGTGATCATGCCTGGTTAAAGACAAGGGTGATCCAGCTGGAGAACTAAATTTGGGGCTGACAGCTAGGTCTTGTTAGGACTTGATGTCATTGATTTCGGGACCTATAAACTGACTCCAAGGAGATGTTCTAGGAACACTGAGTAATGTAAGCCCCATGTACTACGTGGGAAGGTAACTTATGGGAGAGACAGAACCCTATGAAAATATAAGTGCTGGCATGTCCCAGAGAAATCCAGCATCATCACTTTCTGAGGATTTTTCTGGAGATTTAAATCAAGAGGAGAGGCTAATCCTGAATTCATTCTGGCAGACAAAAAAGATGGAATTTAAAAGTAGATGAGAGCTGGGCTCAGTGACTCATGCCTGTAATCAGCACTTTGGGAGGCCCAGGAGTTCAAGACCAATCTAGGCAACATAGAGAGACTGCATCTCTACAAAACATAAAAAAATCACCTGGGCATGATGGTGTGTACCTGTGGCCCTAGCTACCCGGGAGTCTGAGTTGGAAGGATCATCTGAGCCCAGGAGGTCAAGGCTGCAGTGAGGCATGACCACGCCACTGCACTCCAGCTTGGGTAGCAGAGTGAGACTCCAAGTCAAAAAATAATAAAAATAAGTAAAGTAGATGAGGATGAAGGGTTGGGGACTAAGTGGCACATGGTAGGGCAATCTTTTGGTTGGAGAAAAATCAGTTCATACCCAAGGGGCCATGTTCAATAACAGGGGTCAAGTGGGAATAGAAAGATTCAAGGTGGCAGAAATAAGAAAGACGGTTTGGGAGGCAAAGAATGAGAATTCAGGAGAGGTGACTTGTGGTAAAGATCCTACAATACAGTCTTATATCCCAGTGGGGACTTGTGGTCCGGGCTCTACTCCTACAGCATTGTATTAGAAGGGCTGGATGAGAGAGCATGGAACCCCTTTCTCTGCCTGCTTTTCACATCCTCATCACAGATGGGCCTCCCACCGAACGGGGCCAGGATTGAAAAAGCAAATAATCCCAATCCACTCTGCCCCGGGCTGGGTTTGTTCTGGCACTCACACATCCACAGCCTGAGTTTCTGCCGGGAAGAGGCGTCCTCACAGAGGCTCCTTGTGTGGCTGAAATGAAATACATCATTTGTTCCGCTTACCATCTCCAGTCCCTTGAAGCCTGCAGTGGGAGGAAGGACAGGGAAAGACGTGGAACCGCTGCTCCACTGAGCGGGCCTTAAACTCACACCTCTGTGCTAACTCAAAGGCCCTGGCCTTGCCGTAGCAGAGTGGTTCTGTGGAACTACAGGTATCGAAGCGCTAAACACACCAGTGGTAACTTGTTGATGCACCTTCTTTCTAAGCAGGGTGGCAGCAAAGCGAGCCCTGGGCCAGACCCAAAGGTACGGTACCAATGGGGAAAAGTCCAGAAAATTAAGACTTTTCATGGTTCCAAATATGCCAAATGACAATGTAATGAATTGGCTAAGTAAATTCATTCACTTAATGGGTTGGTTTCCAAAGGCAAATAGATCCAAAGATGGTTTGGCTATCAGTCCTTTTTTCAAAATATTCAGAACAGGGACTTCCATTCATTGTCCTATATGGGTGGCAATAGAGGCTTGGAGAAGTACCATCATCACCTAACAAATTATCAAACAGTAAAGCAAACCAGAAGTCATGGCTGAAATCCATGTTCTCGTGTGTTGCTTCTCAGAGTGCACATCAATTCAGTCTTTTGAGAAAAAGTGTTAGCTGAAGTGTTAGTGTTTTTTAAAAAGCTTCCAAGATGATCCTGATTTGCTGCCAGGGTTGAAAATCACTGTTGAAGGATTTAGAAAAAGAAAGGGATGAGAAGAATCCAAGAGTGACCAGAAAGATAGCAGGAAATCAGGATAGTGCCTCATTGGGTATTTCAAGTTGATGCATTCTAGTCTTAAAATATGTTTTAAGTATTTAAAATGTTTGTACATTTGACCTAATAATTTAGTTTCTGAGAGCATGAAAAGGAATTCAAAATATGGATTAAGATATGCAAATCTGCATCACATTATGATAGACGGTCATACAGCCACTAAAATCACATTTATGAAGAATCTTGGTGCCATAAATTTCACCTGTATGTTTATTATTTAGTCCATTAAATATTTTTTGTATCAGGTATTGTGTCAAGAACATAATGAGAACACAGTCACCAGCTGTGATAGAACTGACAGAAAGCATATAGGACTATAAGGCCTGTGGCAGAGAAGAAGCCCTTGAGTTTGAGAGGTCAGAAAAGACCTCTTTGAGGGTGTGGAATTTCTAGTCAAAGATTAAAGAATAAGTGGGCTCCTAGCTGCTCCAGGGAGAATGAACCAGAGGGAGGGAAGGTAGAAATTAGGAGCCTGGTTGGAGGTTCTTTTTGTCTTCTTGGTAGGAGACCTTGGCATAACCCTGGAGAGGTTGTTGGCAAGATATATTTTAGCAGTAGACTAGGAAGGACTTAGGGATGGCTGGGTGATGAATAGGAGGGAAAGGAGGTGCCAAGGATGGCTCCAGGTCTCTGGCTTAAGTAACGGGGTAGTTGGAGAACAGTTTCAGATTTAGACAATGTTGAGAATTCAGTGTTGAACATATTAGGCTTGAGATCTCTGTTGAGACATCAAGGAGAAAGTGGAAAGAGTCAAGCAAGCAGTTGAATGTAAGAGTCTGGATTCAAACAAAAAGGTGTGTGCTAGAGATGTTTGGCCTTGGCACATTCAGACATTTGGGCATTGGCAGCATAGACTGGATTAGGTTACTAGGTCCATAGAGAGAAAAGAGGTGAGAACACAAGCCTTGCCCTGCAGAGCCCTGACCTTTAGAGCTGATTTGGGGATTTAGAATATACTGTTCAGCATGAGGCCCAAGTGTTAATATATTTTAAAAGGCTTCCAAAATGATCTTCATTTGCATCCAGGGTTGAAAACAACTGTTGAAGGATTTGGAAATCCTTCCAAATGAGAAAGTAGAAGGAATGAGAGGAATCCAAGAGTGACCAGAAAGGTAGCAGGAAATTAGGATAGTGCCTCATTGGGCATTTCAAGAAAAGAATGTTTCCAGGAGAGAATATGTTGAGCAGTGTTGAATTCTGCTTTGTGGTTTAGGAACAGAAAGACTGAAAAAGTGACTATTGGATTTGCAAATTGAAAAGCATCAGTAACTTTAGCAAGAGAAATGTTGGTAGTGTGGTGGAGGTGGAAGCCTGATAACCAGTGGGTGAGGAGCAAATGGAAGGTGAGAAAGTAGAGTCTGCACATATTGACAGTCCTTTCAAGAAGTTTCGCTGTGAAGGAGAGTGGACATATGGGGCAGCGAGGGGGAGAAGGGTAGGAAGAAGGGACGTGTCTTGTTTGCTTAAGATGGTGATTGCTAAAGCCTGTTTAAAATATTGATGGGAATGATCTGGAAGATTTTTTTTTTAGTTGGAGTCTCACTCTGTCACCCAGGCTGGAGTGCAGTGGCACGCTCACGGCTTCCACAGCCTCGACCTGCTGGGCTCAGGTGATCCTTCAGCCTCAGCCTTCCAAGTGGTTGGTACTACAGGCACATGCCACCACACCTGGCTAATTTTTTGATTTATTGTAGAAATGAGGTCTTGTCAAGGCTGGTCTCAAACTCATTGGCTCAGGCAATCTCACCTTGGGCTCCCACCGTGCCCGGCCTGACAGGGAAGATTAATGATAGACAAGTGGGAAATATGAATATAATATGAAGTCAGTGATGTAGACAAAAGATAGAAAAAAACTGAATGGAAACACCAAAATCATTTGTAAAATTTTCTGACATGAGCATATATTACTCCTGATTCAGTAAAAATATGTCTGTAAAAAAAAACAAAAACAAGCAAACAACAACAAAAAACAGTACAAGGTTCACACTTATAATCCCAGCCTTTGGGAGGCCAAGGTGAGAGGATTGCCTGAGCCCAGGGGTTCTAGACCAGCCTGGAAAACATGACGAGACCTCATCTCTACAATAAATCAGAAAATTAGCTGGGCGTGGTAGCGTGCACCTATAGTTCCAGCTACTTGGAAGGCTAAGGAGGAGGGATCACCTGAGTCCAGCAGGACTAGGCTGCATTAGTTGTGATCATGCCACTGT